AGAAAAATAATGTCATTGGAATTGAGGAAATGCACATACATCAGTCTATATATATAAATGTATGCAATCAAGAAAAAATAAAATAAAAGGCATCAAACCAAAACAGAGTTGTCTCCTCTGCTTTCCTCTAAAGCCATGGATTTCTCCCCATCTCTTACCGGTCCTGCCCAAATGCTACAGAAACAAAGTGACGACGATTCTCTTGCGGCCAAAAACCATCCCTCCTCCGGCCGGACGCTTTCCTTCTCTTCTTCCTCTTCTTTTTCTTCATGTTCTTCCCACGGATCTTCATATTATCTTGATGATTCTCCATTCAGTCCTTCCACCCCACTCCATTTTTCCGGCGTCCCATTTTCCTGGGAACATATGCCTGGAATTCCCAAAAAACACCAGCATCATAAGAAAAATGAGTCAATAAAGTTGTTCCCGCTAGTGCCGCCTCCTGCCACCGCATCCACCTTGAAAAAGTACAATTCCGAGGACCCCACATCCCGGAAAAAAAACCTCGGTGAGGCAAGCTTCCGCAAGGATCCGTTCTTTGCAGCTTTGGTCAAATGCTCTAAGGACCAGGACGATCAAGAATCCGGCAATTTATGGACCGGGGCTAAGCTTTCCCGGAGTCTCAGTGACAGGTTTGGTTTTATAAATCTCTACACTTCCTGCAAAAGCACCTGTGATGTTACGGAATCAATAGCCTATCTTCCTAAATCAAGAAGAGCACCATCTTATACTTACGGCATAATTAGCCACCACCGTTCCCGGTATATGTGATCATGTTCAACAGATTTACATTTCCTCTGTTCTCTTCCTTCTACATTTTTCCTTTTTACTTTTTTGTATGTGAAGAAAACAGTATGTCAGTTTGTGTGCGAAGAAAACAGTTTGTTAGCATGACAATATGTCTTCGAGACAGGAAAATCATTGTAATATAATATAATGAGTAGGAAGCTGCAGAGCTGGCCTGCTTTGGTTTTATATTACTATAAATACATTGTTGTGAATGAATTGCTCTTGTTGTATGATATATTGTCTAGTTACTTTCTTTTTGAAAGCACTTGTAAGTAAATTTTTTAGTCTTATAGTTAGATTTATAGTTAGTATTGAGACCACTTTTCTTTAAGTGCATCAGTCGAACTAGAGAAATGTACTTTTAAAATCGCCACCTAGGAACAACCTAAT